AGGGTTTAAGCATTGCTTGCTGTATAAAAAACTTTACTGAATTATATACAGTTTGAATGAAATGTTATTTTAAAAACAAAACAATTGTTAAGTGTTCCATAAAGGTTATGTTGAATTTTGGTCAGATGAATATTTGTAAGTAAAAAATATATGCATTTCTGAACCTCAACTTAGATTTTCTTTATATAAAAAAAAAAAGAAAAAGTTGGCTATAGTTGGCCTGATTAACAGGCACTATACATGGTGCTGTGCAAAAATAGTAAGCTAGCATCTTACTGCCGTCAATATTAGCAGGTACAGAGCCTTTTTTCATCCTAATTTAATACGTTCTCAGGCTTCCAAGTCAGACAGACAGGGAGGAGTAAAGTGAGGCGACAGATTCACCATAGGCTTTTTGAAGCATCAAAGGGAAATATAACTACTGATAGTGAAAGCCCAGCCATGACCCAGATGGGGCTTACCCTTGACAGGAACTAGGGACCGAGAGCCTCCCAATTGCCCTAACTCCTGTCATTGGTATTAGCAATATCTGGCCGGATTTAGAACCAGTCATGGAAACTTGTGCTCAAACTAAAAGTAGGTCATCACTTCCCAGAAACAGAACACCTTGTGCTTCCTGAAACAGCATATATCACTGTGAAACTAAAGAATGTTCTACAGACACACCTGTAGAAAGAATCAAAGAACAGGATAGTTTAGAAAGCTTTCTCTTAGCTGTATTCAGCAAATTTCATATTAGTTGCTCAGGATTGCTAGTTGGTATGCTTTTGTAAAATGAGATTGAAATTTAATAAAAGATGCAACTAAAATCTTTTCCTGCATGAAGCGAAAAGCACTCAAGTTGAGAGAGGGGCAAGGGAATCTCCCCAGGATGACTGAAGATGACTTCTTTTTACAGCAAGTACCATTAGCCTTTCTGCACCCAACTTCTGGGTCAGCAGCAAGGTGAACTCAACAGAAGTTGCTCTTGACTGTTTGAAGGTAGAAGCAGCCTGCCCTTTCTCTTTGTTAAAAGAAGGTCAAAGGCATCACAAGCAGGATGCAAGGTCTGTGGTCCAGAAGCTTGCGGTGAGTGTGTGCCACTGATGGAGCCCCAAGCCCACCCACCAGCCACTCCTGATGGGGTTGCTCACACTGCAGCCGCCCTATCACCACCCTGCAGTTTCCTTGGAAGATTTAAATGTTTGATTGCAAATGAATGTTTTAAAAATGTATTTAATGCAATTTTTCCTGCTCTCAACATGACCACCCAAGATTCAAGTTACTATTTTTTCAGAACATCACTGATTTTAAAATCTGTCCCAACAGGACTTGGTTTTGTGCAGATATCACAGTGCTAATGTGAGAAACCCGGTTAAAAGAAAACTTAGTTTATTGGGAAGAAAACCTTAGGCCCACTCATTTCTAGTACTGTGAAAATATCCTTGGTTGGCATTTTTAACGCAAAACATTATAGTATTGGTATTAAATAGTACCAGGTAAATATAAAGAAACCAGTAATGAATTGCTGAGACAATCTTGAACCCAAATAGCATTAGAGAGCTGAAAGCCCAATGAAATAACACTTTCACACTTAAACTCTGTGGATACATCTTGCCTGTGGGTATAAACAGATGGTCAAATTAAAAATGCTTTACTATAATTAACTTTTCTGAATTGAATGAAGGGAAATGTATTTATTGAAACAAAGCTGTTTGCTGCTTTATGCAGGTGCAGTGTTCAGTCAGCAAGGAAGTGGGAAGAGTGGACATGGTCTTGTGTCTACACCCAAGTTCTTAACTAAGCTTCTCGCTCTAATACTGCATTCTGTTTCTCCTTTTGTGCCCTCATTGTAATCCAAAATTTATGAACTAGAAAAGAATGTCCAATTTAATAAGTTGCATTTTTTTTTCCTTAAGCACTTTATTCAGAACAATACATGTTCTTCTGGTAGTGTTTGGATAATATGATTTTAACACATGCTAATAAAAGCCAAGAAAAATCGTGGCAACTTCTAAAAAGGAGTCTGTTTTCCAAATGTCTAGAACATTAGGAAACATCAGAAGATAATGTGTACACACTTTTGGAACCTGTGATTCTTGGTAAATGAAGGGCTGGGAAGTGCTTTGCATTTCAGAGTGGGACCCAGTGCCTTAGGGTAACTGTGGCTCCTAGAGGCATCTGCAGCAGTCTGGGGACCCCACTCTTTTTGGCCTCCTTCTGAAGGCCAGCAGACCTTCACAGGGAAGGTGGGCACTCCCAGCCACAAGGTATCCCGTCCCCAATGTCATGTCCATCCCCTCTGTCCTCTTCTTAGGTATGCCCCATCTCCACTGCCACCAGCTGCTCAGTGTGCAAGAGCTTGCTGTCCCTCTGCAAGGACACACAGTTGCTCTTCGTCTACCACGCACTGCCACCTTTCCCGTCTCTGAATTGTAGGCACACCTTCTATCTCAAGGCCTCACTGGAAACAAAGCCAAGGACACCTGTACCAGAGTGTGGTGGGAGGATGATGAGGTGGGCAAGAGAGGGAATAATCATGGTGGGAACCTCTGGGAGGACCCAAGGTAAGGCCAAGAGAGTAGGAGCAGGTCCAAGCAGGCCCCTGTTTCCCATAACTGCCACAGGGAAAACTTGGAAGTGAAGCCTAAGAAAAGAGGAAGGGGGCCTCCCACCCCAGATCTTGCTGGAGGGCTGACAGAAAGGTTCCAATTTCTTGCCACCTGGGATAGGGACTGGTGCTGTCCCCATCCTGCCCCTTCCCTGTTTACTGGGCAGAGAGGCACATGTTTATTTCCAGCATGAGAGAAGGTCTAGGATCTGGCTTTAGGGAAGGTTGAGGGAACCCACAAAGGTCCACTGAGTGGACTACTAAGCCACCTTTCCTCCTTCTATCTCTGTAGCCCCTGGCTCCTGGCTTTGGCAAGCACTCTGCCCTCAGGCTGAGTGGAGGTCCAGAGCCAGTCCTGAAATAAAACCACCCTCCTTGACAGAGCCGAGTCTGCCCTCCTTCCTGTCAGGCACTCACACCCAGGAGCCAACGGGTCTTAAAACCAAAAGTGGCACCCATCCTTTACTTCCTTGTTTGCTTCTGTTGTGGGAAACCAGGCCTAGGGTCTCTGCCAATGAGTTCCATACTCTGGGAGTGGGCTGATATTTGAGCCACTCTCGGGAACCCCCTTACACCCCATTCCCCTGTTCCTTATGCCATGAAACTTGTGGACTCTTAGAGATGCCCTGCAATGCTGAACCCACAGCATCCCTGAGTCACCAGTAATGGGAGGAAGAGGCATGTCACCATTCCTAACACTCCGGCCCCATCACCTAGTGCCCCACTTGCTTTCCCACTGCCCTGCCCAGCTACTTCATCCATCACTGACACAAGAACACTCTCCCCCTACAGGCTCAGTTCCCCAATCTCATTTTCCCCTCTCTCCCCTGCTTTGGGAGGCCCTGGTGGCTCCATCTCTCATCTCACCAGTGTTGGTAGATCCTTGGCTTCCCAGATTCTGGGGAGATCAGATGGCTGTCAGCTGGGTGCACCCCCTCGAAGTAGCTCATTCAGAGCCACACACATCTGTGGTATGGAAGCCCAGGCATAGGGCTTCTCCAAGTCGTTTGCCACTTCTGAAGTGGGCACAGACCATATGAGCCCCGCTCTTGAGCCCACTCCCAAAGGGAAGAGCACAGCCCCACGGTGGGCTGTGAGTCTGGGGATCTGGAATAGTGCATCCAGCTTCCTGACAGATCCTGTCAGTGAGGGCTTTGTCATGCACATTGAGATCCTGTACAGGTTCCGATGAGCACTGTGGACATGTATGTTTCCATCCAGGGGTGACACAAGGTCCTGGCAAACACAGTGGCCTTAAACAGTAGGGCCTATTGAAGGTCACCGGCCTTGGTTCCCAACTCTGGGGACTGACTTATCCATGTATCCCCAGAGCCAGCTCAGGGCCTAGCACAGTCTCTTGTGCTAGGCTGACGAAGTGTGATGCACCCACGAAGACGTCCTCTGGGAGCTAACTGCCCATTTAAAGAACTTCAAGTCATGGACAAAACCAGCAAGGAGGAAGACGCTGGCATTTGCTTCCTAGTATAGAAGAACATGGCCTCCTCCTCAGGAAAAAGTATGCCTGCACTTGGCAAATTTACAGATAAAGTGGTTAGAGAGGGTGGCATTGTGTGCCAATAATTTCCAAGTGGTCACAATAGCTACTTTTTACTGAAATCCTGTGTCCCTCAAGGGGAGAACTGCAGAGGGATGGCTAAGCCAGGCAATTCAGTGAGAGCTGAAGGCAACCTGGCCCCACTAGGAGCTCTCAGCTTTTAAATTTAGGTGTCACCCAGAATCAGAAACCAGAGAAATGGGGGAGGGATGTGTCAAGAAAATTAGATGAACCCTGTTTCCAAATTTAACGTCTAAGCATTGCTTTATGAACATGCCTTGGTAATGGAGAACTGCAGATGGGAAAATCTGGCAGCATTAAATGACTGTTGGTGTGACTTGGGCAGGCAGCATGAGGAAGCATTTGGAGCCTATTTATATCTGCCTCGGCATCAGGGTGCCTGAAAGTGTCATAGCCAATCTTGCACTGTTTTCAAGCTCATGGTTACCAAATTAAGTTCTAAAATTGTTTAATTCATAAGGTAGATTTATTGTCGGGGAAACACCATCTCATATAACCCAGTATCCTCTGAGATGACACTGTATCTCACAACAGGATGAAATAACTGATGTTCAATTATTTTGTAAAATCCCAAAGACAGAAAAAAAAAAAAAAAAAACTGTGTTCTACATACTGTTTAATAAGGCAGAAAAGTATATACTATTCTCTTTCTTTACTTTTTTTTTTTTTTTTTATTAAGACGGAGTCTCACTCTGTCACCCAGGCTGGAGTGCAGTGGCATGATCTCGGCTCACTGCAACCTTCACCTCCCCAGTTCAAGCGATTCTCATGCCTAAGCCACCCAAGTAGCTGGGATTACAGGCGCACTCCACCACGCCCGGCTAATTTTTTGTATTTTTAGTAGGGACAGGGTTTCACCATGTAGGGCAGGCTGGTCTCGAACTCCTGACCTTAAGTGATCCACCTGCCTTGGCCTCCCAAAGTGCTGGAATTACAGGCATGAGCCACTGCGCCCAGCCGTATTATTTCCATTGTCTACAAAAGACAGCTAAACCAAAAAGTATTGGTACTCAAAAGAGTAAGTTCCGATTCTGGAGGTCCGTTTTGTGCAGTAGACCCCTGGTCACGTGCTCCGGAAGAGCAGCACAGCCATCTCAATCCACATCCTCGGGAAAGCAAAGCGCCTCAGTGGGCCCCTCTGTTGCTTCAGCCTCACCGCCTGTGGGATGACAGATGTTTGGTAGGACTCCTGAAACAGCCCTGTCCCAGACCTTCTGTCCCACCCACCATCCACAAAGAAATGGGAAGTTAAAGGTCAGAGCAGGGAGAGCCAGCAAAGAAGTCCTGATATGTGTTAGGGACCAGGAATTAAACAGAATGGGTAACATTGAGCATTTAATTCATGTCGTATGCCAGACCAGGAGCTTTACATCCTGTCTTTCATCTTCACAACAGCTCTATGATGAAGATTTTTATTATGAAGTTAGTTGTGGTTATGACGAGTCTATCATCTCCATTTAACAGATGAGGAAACTGAGGCCCAGAAAAGGTAAGTAACCTTTCAGAGGCTCTTCAGCTGGGGAATAGTGGAGCCAGAATTCAAACCCGGGATTGTCTGTCCCCTTGACTCCTGCGTTTTTTTTAGCAGGAATAGTGCTAAGTACAATGGAGGCATATGCTGCTCCCCAAAGCTGAGAAAGTGTGACACATCAGAATAAATGGGCAGAACAGCACCCCAGCCAGGCTGCTTCAGTGTCCAAAGGAGACTGTGCACTTATTCCCAGGGTGTGGTCTGCAGGTAACCCCTTTTCTCATCACCTGAGGCCAAAACGTCAGTCTCATGATCTTTCAGCACTCCCAACAGCCCAGTGAGAACTTCCCAGCCACCTGCCCCAGACTTGGCTCTGAGTTACAGCTATTTGCTTCCAATCACCACCCCCTATTCCCAAAAGCTTGAAGGTGCCCCACAACCCTGGACACATAAGGAAATGCATCATGGACTCTCTGAGGGCAGGTCCCAGAGGAAAGCTGGCCTGGAGTGTGTCAGTGGGTCTCTGATCCACATAGAGCCACACTTCCCAAGATGTCCTGGCTCCCCAACCTCTGGCATGCTCAGCTTGTTCCTCAGCTGGCAGTGGGAATAATTCTGCTTCACAGGGCAGTGGCAAGTCCACCTATTTTGACTTGGCTGCATTTCAGATCTTGAGACCATGAGCATATCAAACATTTAGGCAAATATATTGATTAAAACCCAAACATTTAGACACACACGGGTTATTTCCATTTCAGATGGAATGTGGCCTTCTCCCAAGAATCCAACCCTCGCATCCTTTGGGTTTTCCCAAGGTAATCATCTCCCAGCCTCTTCCACTCATTTCATGCTCAAACCGGAGACATGTAATGCAGCAGTTTCACTGGTTGTAGGGTAGACTTAGTTACATGGGCTCCGGGCCCCTTGGGGCTCTCACCCAGATTTGGAGGTGGCGATGCCACCTGGCATGCCTTTCCCAGAGGCTGTCTGAATGCTTCCCATGAAGGGAAGGTCCTAAACAATGGTCATGCATTGAAATGTGGGGCTGAGGGAGATGAGGTCACAGCAAGCTCCAGGTTGAAGCCCCTTCTGTATAGCTGCATTTCTCAGTGAGCCCTTAGGGGCTTAACATGGAGTGTGTGGAGTATGTCTGGCCTCTGACTGGCTTTGAGGTAGGCTTCCAGAAAGTTAATGAAATTTTCCCAATGGTTTCCACAGGGAAATGCAAATAAAGTACTTTTTGCAACAAAAATATGACTCCAAAATAAGCAGCAAAAAATTTAATGAGGTATTAAAAAGCAACACTGTTACTCTATGAGGACACAAAACAGTTTAGTATTGATACTCAAGTTATATAATGACCTGTATTTTCAGAACAGGACTGTATTAGTTTGAAGACTTAGTTACCAAAAATTATCAATCCCCCACACACTCAAGCACATAGTCACAAATTCCTTGTATCTATGATTTAATAAAGATCAAATCTGCCTTGATGACTTACCCTGAGGGGCTTCTGTATCTTTGTCTGAAAATTTCAAACTGGGGAAGAGCAATGCCAGTTCTCTGTCAGCATCTTCTCTGTCCCGGCTTCCGTGGACGGCATTAAAGGGCATTTCTGTGCCGTACTGAGCTCGGAGACTGGGAACATTGGCAAAATGTAAAAGAAACAATTGTTTCATTTGAAAAGAAATGTTTTGCTTTCTGGCAACATGATCACCGGCTACCAATCAGCACCCTGCATTCCTGTGAAATTGATTTCTCTGCAGGAAATACCAAGAACAGCAGCAATAATAATAGTAGCTGGCATTTATTTGGTCATGGCAGTGTGCTGGGCACATAGTTGGGTACTTTACTTACATGATCCCATTGCATTTTCGCCACAGCTCTATGAGACATACTGCTGTTACCCCCGTTTTAAAGATGCCTGATTAATAGTGTAAGCACAGGAGCTGCCATTTTGTCGATATTACTGCCAAAGGCTAGCACCGTACCAAGTGCTTGATAAAGTTTTGCATAGTTATCCTTGCAATAACTTCGTAAGATAATAATATTGCTATGATTTCCTGTGTGTCAAGCACTACTCTCGGTGAGGTATATACATGTATGTATACACACTCGTGATGGATGCTTATATCCCCATTTTACAGTTGAGAGAACTCAGGCTAAGAAGAGACTTGCAGTGACCTAGGATCTGAATCCTGAGCTGGCTTTCACTAGCCCAGCCTGCCTCATATATAAATGTTCCTGGTCCCCTACAGCTACAAAGTACAACTGCAGTTCCTTGGCCTCTCTAATTTCTTTCCTGTTGTCTGCGCCTGTCAGCTTCAAAGGCCAAGGTACAGTGGATTTGTATTGCTGGTGCCAGGCTAAATATTCCCATGTCCAAGGAGCAGGCCAAGGAAGCCCAGTGCAATGTGCAATGTACTCAGACTCCTGAGGGCCTCAGGACACCCTGATGGGGAGTAGGTTTGGATGGCATTGAGACTACAGTGCAGATTCTCAGGCCCTGGCCCAGAGTCTCTGACAGGCTTGAATGGGACCCTAGAATCTGTATTTTCCTGGGAGTACCCTATGGAATCCTCTGGCTGCAAAGAGAAAACAGCGGCTGAGGAATGAATCCAGAAGCAGCCTTCAGAAGAGAACAGAGCAGGGGAGGAGGCACCTCACAGGACGCACTCAGTACAGGCTGGGCCAGAGGGGGAAGATGTCAGGGTCTCCCCAAATATATAAGAGAGAGGCTCCTGGCCATCAGAGAGTCCTCTGTGTTACCCACGATTCTAGGCTGAACACTTTGAGTGGGACTCAGCCTCCTGGAATGCAGGTTTTAAGATGGATGAAAGGACCACAGCTGGTGACGTCACCTTTCAGGCTGCTCCCTCCTGGCCACATTGGGGTCACAGGGGCCCATGACGGTTCGCCAGCTAGTGACCACGTCTTCGAAGCCCTCAGTCCTGGTAAGGATCAGGAGGTGGCTTGGTCCACTGCACATGTGATGTACCAGCTTCTCAAATGCCTCCTAGGCACAGGGAGGGAAAACAGTGACCCAGGGCAGGAGCTGCTAGGGCCTGCAGAGGATCAGCAAGCCCATCTCACCCACGGGATGAGAGGGAGTTAGGGGGCAGCCTTGCTACCAGCCAGCATGCCCGTGACCTCTCAGCCACTGCGCTCTGTCTCTGCCTGGCCACCTCTGCCTGCTGTGGAGGGTGTCAGGCATGGGTGGTAGTGATGACCAGCCACACACAGAGCACTCAGAATGACAAGAGTTTTAAGTTGACTCATTTGGGAATAAACATGAGATGATTATATAAGTTAGGCAGAGACATTTAAAAGACCGTATCTATGGAAATCATATGATGCTGGATAACCAAGGGGTGAAATATAGTTGGTACTTTTTTTTTTTTCATGCAATGCCTCACAACCCTTCCTCCTCAAGTAACAGTACTCTGGTTTTCCTTTGGGGAACAGCCCTTATCCATTTCATTTGGTCCAAATTTGACTGACAACCATGATGCCTATTCCCCAACACAGACACACACACACACACACACACACACACACACACACACACCCCTGACATGAGAGGAAGGGCTATGGCCCAAGCTAAGCCAAGAAGACTCCCAAGCAGGTGGGTCATCAGCAGAAGCAAATGGAAGGTGGTTAGATCTGAGTTATCCAATGGCAGTGTCTAAAGTGATATGCTCGAGGCTTTGCTTCTGAGATCCCTCGCTTCCTTTTGTCTTCAAGCCCTTCTCATTAAACTCTCCCTTCAACTATGGGTTATCCTTCTAATAAATTCCTTAATTCATTTCTTAGAGTCAAAACCTTTTCTTTGCAACCAAAAAACTTTACCTGATACAGCCTATTGTCATTCTGAGAACAAATTTGTGACCCACTTGCTGTTCCTATTTTGGTTCTTCATAATTTCTTCTGTTACAAACTAATATCAATCTACAAGCATAATGTTGGAGGAAGAGAAACGACAGCGTGTTGAACTTGTGGAAGTAGATGAGCTGACCTCTCCAGCTCTGTGTTGGTAGAAAAGTCGCATTTCTGCCTCTGTCATGGTTCTCTCTTCATTTGTTAGAATTTCAAACCCAGCTTCCTGAATCTGTAGAATATATATAAATATTCTGAAAGGGTAAATCAAGCCCAAATTCACATTGATTAATTAATTTAGTTGCAAGGTAAAAAAATAAACACAGGCAACATTAAAGGCTATGGAGACACTGATCCCCACATTATCTGTCCCAATCAGATTTAACATTTTCATTTGCTTGAATGGAGTTTGAGCTACAATCCCTTAGAAGTCGTCTTTCTGCACTAAGATATCACTGCCCGGTGCCCCATCCCTGTTTATCCACAAGAGAGGACACAAGGACAGTGGTGCACGTAAGTGTTGTCTCTCTTACCTTCATGATAATCTCATTGGTCTTTCCGTGGGCCACTGCATCTGGTTTAATGATGGCCAAGGTACAGGTCCTCTCTGATGAAACTAAGCCAAAAATGGTGCTGTCAGATGCTGATGTTTGAGGCTCTCGGGAGTCCATCCACAAAAAAACAATGCTACACAAGGCTCCATTGCACCAAGTGCTAGGCACAGGCTTGGGCTCTCAGGGTTCCCTCCCCTGGCCTTAGTTTTGCCCCTGCAAACCTGGACTCTGGTGGATGTACCAGTCTGACTCCAGACCTCAACCTCCATCTTGCTGCAAGGAACAGAGACTCAGAAACTGGCTCAATGAACCTGGGCAGGTGGCGGAGGAGGAACATGGGGGAAGGGATTGCTGAAAGACTGCTTGGGACCAGAAATCCAGAAACAACTGAATTGAGTTGGCCTGGGGAGTGGTAAGAAGAGGTATAGGAGAAAGTGAGAGGGGGCCTGGAGCATGGGCAACACAGACCTGGCTGCCCTCATCCCTTCCTGTCACCCCCTCATGATTCCCACCCAGCCTCTACCTGCTGTCTGCCACATGCTCTCCTTTCACTCTACTGGCTCCTGTGGCTCTGCTGCTTTTTCCCTTTCCCGCTATGTAGCTAAAAATGGCTCCTCCAGGCCCTGAGTCTGCGTGATGTTCCGTGACTTCTCAGCTCCAGCACATACTACCAGATTGCAGTTTCAGTAGTCTCTGTCTCCGTTCAAGTTCTCCTGAGAGAAGCCAGATTGCCCCACTCATTAGTCTGAGCCAAGGTACCAGCCCTAGCTCACTGGCCAGTCTGCTGATTGACTGCCCTTGAATGAGCATCCACCAGTCCAATTAGCTATGACAATGAAGGAGGTGCCACAAGATCACAGTCCACTGCTGAGGCCCACAGGAGCTATAAGGAGGTCTGTGTCTAGTCCATGAGCCCACCTCCATTGTCCTCCTGCTTATATAAACTTGTCTTTGGTGAGTTATCTACACTCTCGACAGAATCATCATTCTCTATCACCTATTTTGTTTCTCAGCTTTTACATTGGTTGTGTTGAAATGAAACAAGGCAATCTCTACATTTAAAGAGGGCTTTCTACTCTGAAAAATCTCAAAAACATGTATTGCAAAATGTATAAATCATTTCAAGCAACAAATCTATTATTTCTTTCTGAGATTACTATTTCTGCTATATCATGAATATTTAGATTTTAAGATACTTTTACAATAAATTCCATTATAAATTGATTAATGAGATCACCCAAAAGTAGAGGAAGAAGAGAAGAGACCAAAGCAGGGGCCTGGGACGTTCCAGGTTAAAAGAACAGCACAAGAAAAGAAGCCAATGAAGGAGAAACTGAGGAGAGGACAGAGACATAGAAGGAAAACAAGAAAAGTCGTCACATCTTAGACACCGGAAGAGAAGGTTTTGAGAAGGAAGACATTGTGAACATCATCTCATTCTGCAGAAAAATCCCATAAGATATGCACTGGAAACTACCTGTTGGTGCCACCAATGAGCACCATTTCAGGGAGTAGTGAGTGCAGAGGCCAGATTGCAATAGGTCGGGGCACGAATGGAAAGTGAAGGTGGCCTATAGTGTGGACAAAGGAAGCTTGGCTGTGAATAAGAGGAAGACTGAGGGCAAGGGCAGTATCTTAGGTGGTTTTCTAGGTGGGAGAGACTTGATTTGGGAGGAAATCATGGAGGAGGGAAGAAAGAGGAGATAATACAACAGGGGAGTAACAGATGTCTCCTGCAGAATCACAATCACTGATTTTCTCTTCACCCTTGAAGTTTTCTTGCTGTCCTAAACTGTGCCTTCTCCCTTGTTAGAATCCAACTCAAACAATTCTTATTCTCCACACATGTAAAAACAGCCTTTCTATTTCAAGCAATAATTTAAAAAATCTTCCTCCTCTTATCAACACAGTTCCTGAGCCTAATTCTGGTTTTCCCTTGTGTCTCGGTTACCACCAAGAGACACCATCCCAGCAACAGCCTTCCTAACTCTTAGCTTTTTTTCATTCTGTCAGGCCAAGTTTTCTCATATGAAAGGTTCAGGAAGTACTGTGATACCCAGGAGTGTAAAGTCTGCGAGTTAATATTTGGGGAAGATAGGAAAGAGGTTGTAGGGCTCTGGGAAGGAAAGATTTTCTAATGTTTAAGAAAGAGGTGAAAAAAGAGGCTTGAGCTTTTTTAAAAAGTTCAAATAAGGACTAAGGAAATACCAGCATCATTGCTTTCAATTATTGGTGTTGCTTCCCTCCATTTTATTACATGCAGCTTTTTTTGATGCCTGGTAATTGCCATGAAAGTCACACCTATTATATTTGAACATAATCAAAGCGCTGTGTAATGGGCCCAAAATGCTGCTAAAGATCAGAAGAGAGATTTGACACAGTATGTTTGAAGTCCAGTGACTGGAGACAAAATATTTTATGGTTAAGCTTCCCAGAATCATTCCAATTTATCTAGCAACAGGCTTCTCAATAGAAACTATATAGGCCAGGAGGCAGTGGAATGACATTTCCAAAATATTGAAAGAAGAAGAAAAAAAAAAGGTCATCCAAGAATACCATACCCAGCAAAGCTATCCCTCAAATATGAAGGCGGGCCAGGCGTGGTGGCCCAGCACTTTGGGAGGCTGAGGTGGGCAGATCATCTGATGTCAGGGGTTCAAGACCAGCCTGACCAACAGGGCAAAACCCTGTCTCTACTAAAAATACAAAAAAAAAAAAAAAAAAAAAAAAAAAAACCGCCAGGTGTGGCTAAAAGTGACTCCCAGGCCCAAGTCGGCATGTTCCGTGACTTCCTCAGCTCCTTTTATACTACCAGATTACAGCTAGTCTCTGTCTCCATTCAAGTTCTCCTGAGAGAAGCCAGATTGCCCCACTCATTAGTTTGAAACCCAAGGTACCAGCCCTGTCTCTACTAAAAAAAAAAAAAAAAAAAAAAAAAAAAAAAAAAAAAAAAAAAAACCCGTCTGTAAGCCCAGCTACTGGGAGGCTGAAGCAGGAGAATCACTTGAACCCAGGAGGCAGAGATTGCAGTGAGCAGCATCATGCCACTGCACTCCAGCCTGGTTGCAGTGAGCCAACATCATGCCACTGCACTCCAGCCTGGGTGACAGAGTGAAACTCCATCTCAAAAAAAAAAAGAAAAGAAAAGAAAAAAGAAAAGAAAAAAAGAAGAAGAAGGAATGCCTAAGGAAATCTTTAATCTGAAAGAAAAAAATACTAATATGCAAAAAGAAGACATTTGAGGTATAAAACCCACTGTTGGCCAGGCACAGTGGCTCACGCCTATAATCCCAGCATTTTGGGAGGCCAAGGCAGGTGGATCACTCTAGGAGTTCAAGACCAACCTGGCCAACATAGTGAAACCCTGTCTCTACTAAAAATACAAAAATTACTAGCTGGGCATGGTGGCACATGCCTGTAATCCCAGCTACCCAGGAGACTGAGGCATGAGAATTACCTAAGCCCAGGAGGTGGAGGTTGCAGTGAGCTGAAATTGCACCATTGCACTCCAGCCTGGGTGACAGAGTCAGAGTGAGCCAAGATCATGCCACTGCACTCCAGCTTGGGTGACAGAGCTAGACTGTCTCAAAAAAAAAAAAAAAAGAGCCAGGTGCAGTGACTTATGCCTGTAATCCCAGCACTTTGGGAGGCTGAGGCAGGTGGATCACCTGAGGTCAGGAGTTTGAGACCAGCCTGACCAACACGGAGAAACCCCGTCTCTACTAAAAATACAAAATTAGTCAGGCGTGGTGGTCCATGCCTGTAATCCCAGCTAACTGGGAGGCTGAGGCAGGAGAATCTCTTGAACCCGGGAGGCGGAGGTTGCAATGAGTCAAGACTGTGCTAGCTTGGGCGACAAGAGTGAAACTCTGTTTCAAAGAAAAAAAAAAAAAAAAAACAAGACCCAACTATGTGCTGCCTACAAGAAACCCACTTTACCTATAAAGACACATAGATGGAAAGTGAAGGCATGGAAAAAGATATTCATTGCAAGTGGAAATGAAAAGAGAGCAAGATAAACTATACTTAGATCAGAGAAGGTCATTATATAATGATAAAGGGGTCAATTCATCAAGAGTAACAATTATAAATATCTACCCAACACCAGAACATCCAAGTATATAAAACAAACATTAACAGATCTAAAGGGAAAGATAGACTGCAATACAGTAATACAATACTGCAATACATAGGGACTTCAACACCCTACTTTTAGTAATGGACAGATCATTCAGACAGAAGACAAACGTCATAGTCAAACTGCACACTAGACCAAACAGACCTAACTGATATTTACAGAAGAGTTTACCCAAGTGCTACAGAAAAGACATTATTTTCATCAGCATGTGCAATATTCTCCAGAATAGAGCAAATTATAAGCCACAAAGCTAGTCACAACAAATTCAAAAAAGCAGAAATCGTATATATCTTTTCTGACCACAATAAAATAAAAGTAGAAATCAATAACGAGGAACCTCAGAAACTACACAAACACATGAAAATTAAACAACATAATCATGAACAACAAATGCATCAGAGAAAAAATTATAAAGGACAACTTTTAATTTCTTGAAACAAATGAAAATGGAAATACACATCCAAAATCTACGGGATACGGTAAAAAGAGTAATACAGTAAAGGGGAAGGTTGTAGCAATAAATGCTTATATCAAAAAACATAGGAAGATTTCAAATAACCTAATGATGCACCCAAATGCACTAAAAAAGCAGTAACAAACCAAACCCCCAATTAGTACTAGGAAGCAAACAATAAAGATCAGAGCAGAAATAAATGAAATTGAGCCTAAAAAATACAGAAGGTCAATGAAGCAAAAAGTTGATTTTTTTGATAAGATAAAATCAATGAACCTTTAGCTAGACTAAGAAAAAGAGATGACCCAAATAAATAAAATCAGAAAGAAAATGGAGACATAACAACTGGAAACTACAGAAATATAAAGAATCATTAGACACTGTTATGAACAACTACACACCAACAAATCTGAAAACCTAGAAGAAATAGATAAATTCCTGGATACATGCAATCTACCAAGATTGAACCATGAAGAAATAGAAAACCTCAACAAACCAGTAACAACAAGATCACAACTGTAATAAAAAGTCTTCTGCCAAAGAAAATCTCAGGACCTGATGGCTTCAATTCTAAATTCTACCAAAAATTTAAAGAATAACTGATACCAATTCTACTCAAACTCTTCAAAAAAATTTGAAGAGGAGGGAAAACTTCCAAACTCATTCTGTGAGGCCAGAATTGCCCTGATAGCAAAACCAGACAAGGACACAACAAAATGAGAAAACTAGGCCAATATCCTTGATGGATATAAATGCAAAAGTCCTAAACAAAATACTAACAAACCAACTTCAACAACACATCAAAAAGATCATTCACTATGTGGGATTCATCCCAGGGATGTAAAAAGGGTTCATCATATGTAAAGCAATATATGTGGTTCATCAAATCATTAACAGAACCAAGAACAAAAACCGTATAATAATTCCAATAGATGCTGAAAAACCATTCAATAAAATTTGAATTCCCTTTATGATAAAAAACCTTCAAAGCACTGGGAATAGAAGGAACATACCTCAAAACAATAAAATCCATGTATAACCCACAGCAAACATCATAGTGAATGGGGAAAATTTCAAAGCCTTCCCTCAAAGTTCTCGAATAAGACAAGGATGGCTGCTTTTACCACATTAATTCAAAGACCCCACCAAAAAACTGTTAGAACTGATAAATGAAATCAGTAAAGTTGCAGGATACAAAAGCAACATACAAAAACCAGTAGCATATGTATATACCAACAGCAGACAATCTGAAAAAGAAACCAAGAAAGCAATCCCATTTACAATAGCTACAAAGAATATAAAATATGTAGAATTCGATTTAACCAAAGATGTGAAAGCTCTCTACAAGGAAAACTATGATACACTGATGAAAGAAATTGAAGAGGACACACACACACAAATGGAAAGATATTCCATGCCATGCTGATGGATTGGAAGAATTAATATTGTTAAAATATTAATAGTGCCCAAGGCAATTTACAGATTCAGTGCAATACCTATCGAAATACCAGTGACATTCTTCACAGAAATAGAAAATATAATCCTAATATGTATATGAAACCACAGAAGACCCCAAATAACCAAAACCATACTAAGCAAAAATAACAAACCTGGAGGAATCACACGACCTGACTTCAAATTATACTACAAAGCTATAGTGATCAAAACAGCAAAATACTAGCATAAAAACAGACACATAGAATAGCGAACCCAGATGTAAATCCACACATTTATAGCCAGCTCATTTTCAACAAAGGTGCCAAGAACATACAATGGTGAAAGGACATTCTCTACAATAAATGGTGGTGGTTAAACTGAATAACCATATGCAGAAGAATGAAACCACACCCCTATTTCTCACCATGTACAAACACAAAATCAAAATAGATGAAAGGCACAATTCTAAGACCTGATACTATGAAACTGTCAGAAGAACATTGGGGAAATGGTCCAGGATATTGGTCTGAGCAAAGGTTTTTTGTGTAAGACCTCAAAAGCATAGGCAACAAAAGCAAAAATAGATAAATGAGATCACATCAAGCAAAGAAGCTTCTGCAAAGCAAAGGAAACAATCAACAAAGTGAAGAGACAACCCACAGAGTGGGAGAAAATATTTGCAAACTATCCCTCCGACAAGGGATTAATAACCAGAATATATAAGGAGCTCAAACAACTCAAAAGCAAAAAGAAAGATAATCTGATTTTTAAATAGGCAAAAGATCTGAGTAGACATTTCTCCAAAACAAGACATAAAAATGGCCAATGGGTATATGAAAAAGGTGCTCAATATCAGTAATCATCGGGGAAATGCAAATCATAAAATCACAATAAGATTTCATCTCACCCCAGTTAGAATGGGGACTATTAAAAAAAAAAAAAAAAAAAAAGGAGGCTGGGTGCAGTGGCTCACGTCAGTAATCCCAGCACTTTGGGAGGCCAAGGCAGGTGGATCACCTGATGTCAGGAGTTCGAAACCAGCCTGGCCAATGTGCTGAAACCCAGTCTCTACTAAAAATACAAAAATTAGCCAGGTGTAGTGGCGGGTGCCTGTAATCCTAGCTACTCAGGGAGGCTGAGGCACCAGAATCACTTGAACCTGGGAGGCAGAGGTTGTAGTGAGCCAAGATCGTGCCACTGCACTCCAGCCTGGGCGACAGAGGGAGACTCCGTCTCAAAAAAACCAAAACACTAAAAAGAGAATAATGAGGCGAGGATGTAGAGAAGGGGGAATGTTCATATACTGCTGGTATGAATGTAAATTAGCACAGCCACTATGGAAAACAGTATGGAGGTTCCTGAAAAAACAAAAATAGAACTACCAGATGATCCAACAATCCCACTACTATGTATATATGCAAAAGAGAGGAAATCAATATATTGAAGAGATATCTGCACTCCCATGTTTATTGCAGCAATATTCACAATAGCCAAAATATGCAATCGACTTAAGTGCCCATCAATGGATGAATAAAGAAAATGTGGTGTATATACACAAGGGAATAATATTCATTAATTTAAATGATTAAAATCCTGTGATTTGTGGCAACATGGATAGAACTGGAGATCATTATGTTAAGTGAAATAAGCCCCCAAGCAAAGAACAACAAATAGCACATGTTCTTACTCATATGTGGGAACTTAAAAAAATGGATCTCGTGAAGGTAGAAAGTAGATTGGTGATTACCAGAGGCCAGGAAGTGGAGAGAGAGGGATGAAGAGAGGTTGATTAATAGGTACAATCTACAGATAGAAGAAATCAGACCTGGTATTCAAGAGATCAGTAGGGTGACTATAGTTAACATTAATCTATTGTACATGTCAAAATAGCTAGAAGAAAATAATTTGGATATCCATAGCATAAAGAAAAGATAAATATTTAAGGTGATGGATATCCCAATTACCCTGATTTAATTATATGTATGTATCAAATTATCTCATGTACTCTGAAAATACACACATCTATTATATACCAATTTTTATAAGAAAATTATGAACCATTAAAAAATCTTCTCAGAGTTCAGATTGCTCAATAAAGTGAATACTCATCTATTTTAAACACACATCAAATCTGAGTCTGCTTTGCCTTTTTCCCTTGCTCATTGGTTCTGCACTCACCCATGTCCTCATCTTCACCATTGTTCTTTCCATGGGAAACACATTCATCTTCATCAGAAAGAGCCTCATCTTTAATCTAGTATAAATTGGTCATTAAAAGAAAGTAGTTAGCTAATTAACATTACTTCTAACACATTCAAAAACCTGTAGAGACTAAAAAAAGCAAAGCTCCAAAACACAGAGGAAAAAAATGTCAGTTATCAGTCTTGGAAACTTTACAAGACCCTTTTTGGTGGCTGGGTGCTGGTGTGGGGCTGACAGAATTAGAATACAAGAAAAGCCAAGCTTATCTTAAGTTTTAGAGTCTACCTCTTTTCATACGCATTAAGTAGAGATAGTCGATAAGAAGACAAAGAATTGAAATGTAGGTAAATATTAAGAGATTGACTATGCAGTACAGAGAAGCAGTAAAGAGAGATAATATTCCCTTGGAGAAGGCACATGAAAATATTAGCATTTGCAGTTTTCTTTCGGGAGGGAAAATGGCCAGGTTTCTTGGGAAAAATATGATTTGATTCTAATCCATTCCATAAAAATGGAGCTTTGCTATTTGGAATTTAATAAGAAAACTTGAACAATGAACATGGAATGGTGTGGAGTCACATTTGCCAGATGCTCAAAGCACCAGGAAATACCTCTCTACCTATAGTATGTTGATTTTCAAAGGCAGCCAATTATTTGAAGAACTGGCAGTCGATGTTATCATGGAAATAATTTATCAAAATCACAAGCTATGCTGATTCTATTTCTCATGTTAATGACAGACCTTAATTTCTAAGTTAAAGAAATGAGCCCTCTGAGTTCACAAGTAAAACCTTCAGGAATATGAGCCAGTGGGTCACTAGGAGAGATTTCACCTCAAGGCTGAGAGGAGCCCAGGATAGCTGACTTCTCCTACGCATCACTCCATTCTGTAACTTGATTTTCATTTCTGAATTCATTGTTAAGAGTTGAAGTGGGAGATGAAAGGGAAATTGATAAAATAAAGTGCTCTGGATGAAAGAGATGGCTTTTATAAGAAGGTTTCAAAATGCACACATATCACCAGAGCACAGTGCTTGAGGAACAGACCCAGGTGAAACTTTTATGAAGCTGTCCACCAACGGCTCCAGGACAGTCGGGTAAGGGGGATGGGGACTGCTGATCTCGCCTGCTAGCGCACTTGTGAGTTAGCTCTTGTAGAAGTGACCTCCAGTTACCACTTTCCGTTCTCTGCCTTCAGCCAGCACTTTCTTTTCGGCCTCCAGCTGGTCTAGGATGGTTTTCTGCAGCAGTGGGGCATTTGCTCCTCTAACCACAGCCACCAGTTCTCCTCCCTAGAATATGTCACAAACAGCATGAAATACTCTTGGCAAATATTAATCTCTTTCAAGAGATGGCGAGAGTGTCTAGGAGTGTGTGTGCCCAAGATCAAGGTCCCTCAACCCCAGGGCAACTTCTGCTGCCCTCCTTTGGCAGGACACTCTCAGGTCTGCTTCTAGGATTTTTGTTTGTTTGTTTGTTTGAGATGGAGTCTCGCTCTGTTACCCAGACTGGGGTGCAGTGGCGTGATCTTGACTCACTGCAAGCTCCGCCTCCCAGGTTCACGCCATTCTCCTGCCTCAGCTTCCCAAATAGCTGGGACTACAGGTGCCCGCCACCATGCCCAGCTAATTTTTTTGTATTTTTAGTAGAGACGGGGTTTCACCGTATTAGCCAGGATGGTCTTGATCTCCTGACCTCGTGATGTGCCCATTTTGGCCTCCCAAAGTACTGGGATTACAGGCGTGAGCCACTGCGCCCAGCCAGTCTGCTCCTAGTTTTAAATGATTTCTCTTTTTCTGATCTCTACCTTCTAGGCCATGCCACTCCTTTCAAAGCTTCCTTCAGGGTAATCAGCAGTTCATTAAGGGAGGAACAGTACATAGTAAGTTATGAGTGACTAAGTGTGGCTTACACATGAGTTACTCATTCAACAAATATTATTGAGCACTTACTATACCAAGCACCAAGGCAGAAGCAAAGAATATAAACATTAAACATGAAAAAACATAGCTGCAGCCTTCATGAATGGGGACTAGAATGGGGAGAGGGATGACTGGGCATGCCGAAGAAACAATTACAATACTATAAAATAATTGCTGTAAGTAATACGGAAATTTATAAGGTGCTTGGAACTTAGGGCAAGAATTGCCAGCATCATCTGAGATGGTCACGGAAGGCTTCACAGTCGAGGCGGTATTTGGGATGAACCTGAGTTTCTGCTTTAACTCTTTCAAAAGTCTGTTTGTTTGTTTGTTTGTTTGTTTGATGGAGTTTCGCTCTTGTTGCCCAGACTGGAATTCAATGGCATGATCTCAGCTGACTGCAACCTCTGCCTCCTGGGTTCAAGTGATTCTCCTGCCTCAGCCTCCTAAGTAGCTGGGATTACAGGCACCCGCCACCAGGCCTGGCTAATTTTTGTATTTTTAGCAGAGACAGTGTTTCACCATGTTGGCCAGGCTGATCTCAAACTCCTGACCTCAGGTGATCTGCCTGCCTCGGCCTCCCAAAGTGCTGGGATTACAGGTGTGAGCCACCGCACCTGGCCAAAAGTCTCTACGTTTGTACTCACAAAGAAATGAATCTGGAGAGGGAGAAGTTCACATAGAGTGGGTCCTCCTTCCATTTCCATCCCATCCCTTAGTGGACCACCATGGGGTTGAAGATTGTGGCCCATGTTCCCATACAGCCAAGTAAGATTTATGCTTTAATTGCTATGGGCTCAGGCAATGAAGCCATTGTGGTCCCATTTCTGCAGCTGAGCTCTGATGTCAAGTGTGTCTGGGGCATGCTCATCTCCGAGCTCCTCCCTGCTTCTCCCTCTTTTCCTCCCAATCATGTTATCTCATGTAAGTTCAGTCTCCCTACTAAAATCCAAAGCTCAAATAATGTTTTATCGTAAGTTTCCAATTTGTAATACTTGCAGTGCTGAGGTCAGGAGGCTGAAGTTTTCAGAACTGAACAACCCTAGCCTGGTGTTCGGAGACCTGGTTGAGTAGATCCTGGTATTCCTGACTCTACAATGAGGGGGCTGGTCTGAGTGAGGAGGTATATTGATCCATTGCCATCAGAGTCTGGCAGGTGGCCTAAACCTGGGAAGCCAAGTGTGTAACAATGGGCCCTTAGGGGCATGGAGCTGGACCATGGATGTCACACCTAAGGACATCCAAATTATATTTTCAAAACACTGGGCCACTTGACTTTCCTCAATAGTCCGTCTCATTTCTAACTTTTTGTAAACATATCTTCACATTTTATGATTACATAAGGGTGAATGAAGAGCTTGTCTGCCCCATAAAGGAGTATCTATTTTTACTAAAAAGTCCCCTTTATGGAGCAAAGGATAGAAATCTTGAAACCCTGTGCTCTGAGAGTGAAGCCTCCAGTCTAGAGTATTCATGAGCCAAAAAGGAGCATGTACATTTGAGTGACTGGTACTCTCTCCCCGTGTACAGCAAGTCAGGAAGGCTGCCCCAGCACCGTGGCCACCAGGGTGCTGTGTCATCCACCTCCTTGGGCGCAGGGCCCTCAGGCCACCATCTAGTCAACAGCTTGTATCACCACTTCGACTTGGGGGTGGGGGTGTCTGTGTGTAGCCAACATCATAAAAAAAGACTGGGAGGCATCAGAGAAAACAGCATCACTTGTTTGAATCTGTGAGGCCTCTTGGTGGTTCCCATTAATTCTCCCAAAGATAATTAATGTCAGTGAAATGCTTCTATTTTGAACTCTAATGATGTGCAATTGTCAAATAGTTCTGGTTCTGAAAATGTACTTACTGCATAAAACAGAAAGGTTGGCTCGCACTTCCCTCGGTATTTTTCGAGGACATCAAGACGATCTGCCTCTGCCTAAAGAAAACCACTATCAGCAGCTACCCTGGGTGCAGGGGGTGCAGGGTCCGATTGATCGGTGGGAAACCACACAGGGAACTGAACACCCCCAGGACTGACTTCCCCAGGTGGAGCCCCGATTTGCTCTCATGCTGTTCCTGCTAATCAGAGCTGTCCTATAAAATTGCAGACATGTACTCTCTTGAAGAATCAAATGAGGAGGAAGCAAGAGTATCTCCTGCCCCACCCAGCTACTGTACCAGTCCAAGGGAGCGCTACTGGCTGATGTCCTTCTGCAGCCATGACTGACAACCGAGGTGAAGGTCCTCAGGCACTGACTTCATTGTCTGAGAAACCTGCTACACATGGGCATAAGAGATCCCCCACGCAAGCCCTTCCACAGCACACTCCCTATGGAAGCACCAAGACTGACTGCCAAAGGAAGAACTGCAAAGTCCTTGAAGTCCAACTTCTTGAGTGATTAGTGTAAGTTATATTTTCTCCTGTCTTCACTGCCTATGAACCTCAAACCCATGCAGCATATCAACAGTGTCTCTTGAATACTTCTCTAGAATTTATTCCCATTTCCATACATTCATCCAAATAAATATTTGCTGTAAGTTCCCCTTTATGGAGCAGAGGATGGAAATCTGAAAGTGACATTTCAGTCAACAGTGTTCACAAGCCAAGAAGGCGATGCGGCTGGGGTGGTGGCTCACACCTGTACTCCCAATACTTTGGGATGCTGTGGTGGGAGGATTGCTTGAGCCCGGGAGTTCTAGACCAGCCTGGGTGATATAGTGAGACCTTGCCTCTACAAAAAGTTAAAAAATTAGTGAAGCATGGTGGCATATGCCTATATAGTCCCAACTAGTTGGGAAGCTGAGGTGGGAGGATCATTTGAGGCTGGGAGGCAAAGGCTGCAGTGGGCCATGATCCCACCATGGCACTCCAGCCTGGGTGACAGGAGAAAGAAAAAAGAAGAGGGAGAATATGCATTTGAGTGATATATATTTCTTCTCTTCATATAGCACCAAGAACTGCTCAAGCCAAGAGTGATATAGGGAGGTGGGGTGGGGAATAGGAACCTTCATAGCTAGAGAAATTAGAAAGTATTGTGACAGTATCAACAAAAAGTCCACACTGATTCCTTTTTAATGATCTGAGAAAGGCCACTCTCACACTTCTCCTTCCTGACTCTTTTAAATTTTTAAATTCTTTTTACAATGTTGTATGACTGTTGGATGAGAGAGAATCTTACTAATGCAAAGTGCAGAAGGTCCAGGCCGACCTCGATCCTCATCTTCTGGAACAGGCTCACCACAGGTTTGCAGGGGCCACACCAGCCTTGATAGACATCAACAACTGTGTGGAACCAAGAAGCAGGAACATTCAGTAGACACCAGCGCCCACCACACCAGGCACAATTTATACCTGTACATTCTAACCCCCCTCAAATGGACATTCATTTGCAGGGACATCTAATGGTTAAAGGGATTTACTGTCTCATGAGATTATAAGCAAGTATGGAAACACAGCTAGCCCTCATTCTTATGAACTTGGTATACTGAATTCTAAATACAGTATAAGTATAGCAGAAAATAATTTTCTTAACATGGCTCCTTTATCTTAAGGGTTCTTCAGGCTACATTCAGGGTTAGGCCTAACACAGGGTGGCCCTCAATGATATTGGAATTACACTGAAACTGTCTATTCTAAAAAGGAGAGGTCACTCACTGTAGGTGACCCAGCAGCACACAATTGACTTTTATGTAATCCTTTGATAATAAACACAGGTTTGACCTTTTCTTCTGATGAATTAAAAGCCACTTTCTTTGGGTGGAGCAGAGTTTTATTTACTTTAGAAAAATCAACATTTTTCTCCCAGAAAGTGAGCCTGATAGAGAGCTAGAGAGAAACTTGGATACCTTTTTCTTCTTTAGTCCCAATCTATAGTACATGTCAGGGCTGGATGTAGGGGAACCCTCTCATCTGAGTGTTGTGAACCACATGATCTGCAGGAAGCTAAGCAAACCAAGCCAACTCCCGTGTACTGGATTTGTGCAGGACCTGCCCCACACGACCATGAAGCGGCAGCAAGGGCTACATGGTGACATACCAGTGGCCATATTTTAGAGGAGGGATATCTGCCAAAAGGCTTCAACACTCCCAGAGTTCATGCCTGTTCCACACAGGTGAGCATTTCGGTTCAACCGCTAGAGTAGCATAGTCACAGGGAGATCGTGTCAAAATTGCTAATAATTGATTAACTCTGTCAATTTTAATAGCATGCAATTTGTGATTTTACTTATCACAGATTCACATTTCAAAATTTTCCCATCAAGTGAGAACTATTAATACAATATAAATTGTCATGACTAACGTTGGTATAGAGACTGGCACTGTACTAACACTGTTCTGTAGTAACCAGGGAAGGAAGGCTTCCCATGAAGAGGTGACTTGCACTGGGCATTGTAGAGAGCCCAGGTTTGGATGGGCAGAGAGGGAGACTGTGGTGCAAAGGATGGGCAGCCAGGCATAGGTGGCAGACTCAGGGACCCCTGGGCAGCCTGCTGGACCAGACCTGCCTGAGGTGGTGTGGTAGGAAGTGGTGGCAGGGATCACTGGAGGAATCTGGAATGTGGAGCTTGAGGAGCTCTATCCTGAATCAGTAGGCAACGAGGATTCACAGTAAGTATTAGAGAGAAGAGGGAGCTAATATCTTGGACTTGCCTGCATCCAGAATTATAAGAAATAAATTTCTGTTCTTTATATACTACATATCTGTAGTGTCCTGTTACAGTAGCATAAACAGACTAAGCTATTCTGCTTTAGCTGCAAGAGGGCAGGTGCACTTTGCTTTTCTCTAAAAAGCCCAGTGAGATGGATATCATTATTGCACTATCAAGATGAGGAAACTGAAGTTCAAAGAGGTGAAGTCATGGACCTAAGGTAAGAAAGCAAATTCTCAAGCAGTATAGCTTAGTCCATTTATGCTGCTGTAATGGGACACTACAGACTGGGCAGTTTATAATGAACAGAAACTTATTTCTCATAGTTCTGGAGGCTGGCAAGTCCAAGATCAAGGTGCCAGCAGGTTTGGTTGTCAGGTAAGGGCTGCATCCCTCTGGAGGAGAATTATACTGTATCCTCACATGACGGAAGTCAAGGGCAAGAGGAATAAACTCCCTCCATCAAGCCCTTTTATAAGGGCACTTAATGCCACTCATGAAGGGCACTACTCCCCTTTTAAAGGCCCCACCTCTTAAAACCATTACTTTTGATATTCAGTTTCAACACTGAATTTTGAAGGGGGACACATTTAAACCACAGTACAGCAGAATCAAGTTTTATTTTATTTTATTTTATTTTATTTTATTTTATTTTATTTTTGAGACGGAGTCTGGCTCTGTCGCCCAGGCTGGAGTGCAGTGGCCGGATCTCAGCTCACTGCAAGCTCTGCCTCCTGGGTTTACGCCATTCTCCTGCCTCAGCCTCCCGAGTAGCTGGGACTACATTAGCTGGGACTACAGGCGCCCGCCACCTCGCCTGCCTAGTTTTTTGTATTTTTTAGTAGAGACGGGGTTTCACCGTGTTAGCCAGGATGGTCTCGATCTCCTGACCTCGTGATCCTCCCGTCTCGGCCTCCCAAAGTGCTGGGATTACAGGCTTGAGCCACCGCGCCTGGCCAGAATCAAGTTTTAAATCCTGTGTTGCCTGATGCCATAGCCCATGCTCTTTCAACTGCTCCAGGGAAGAAGCAAGATGCATAAATTCCACAGTGTTCATTGGTTCAGCCAAGTAGCACAATTTTGCAGAATGTGAGAACCCAAGCTTGGTATAGCAGGAATGAGGAAGCCAGACACACGGGTGGCAGAGGGGATAGAATGAAAAGAATGTAGGCAGAATACTAGGGATGAAAATGAAGACGGTGTGAAAAGGACTTCACCTTTGAGCCTAGCAGAGAAAAAGAACTAGCGAGGGGTGGGGAGAGATTGTTGGAGGGGAAAGGAGAACAAACTCAACTCTAAACAGGCTGGGTTTTCAGTACCAACCAGAAAATCTAAGACAAGTGATCACAAAGGCAACCAGACATCCAAGCAGGAGAGTGGGATTTGGGTTCCACAGCATCCAGGTAGAGGATAAAGTTCTGGGCTTTCCTGAAGAAGAGTTTCACAATTGACAGATTTTAATTTATTTTTTTATTTCAGCCTACTACAGTTATGTGGGTGATGGCCAAAAAGGGCATTTGGGTCAAGCCAGGAAAATGTCCCTGAAGACTTAGAGGGCCCTGTACACAGGCCCACTGAAAAGGGCAGGTTTAAATCCCAAAGGAAAAAAGCTGGGGCTCAACTCTCTGTGCTGTATTTGTATTGACAGTGCACCTGCCATTGCTACTAGCTTCTCCCTCCCTCTTGGACGCCCTGGCTCTGTGAGGAGTGGCGGGCACAAAAGCACCTTCACAAAGTTATGGAGGAAGCGGGGATGGGGGGGAGGGGGGAGGAAGGAACAGAGAGGAAGTGTTTGATTTGACTCTGAGTGAGAGGAAGCAAAACAGAGAAGCCACATGGAAGGAATGGCAGAGACAAGAAAAAGGTGTGTCTGTGTGTGTGCGTGCATGTATGTGTGTGTATGTGTGTGTCTGTGCATGCATGTGTAGGTCTGAAGGGATTTTGGCATGTTGAAAGCAGGTGAAAATGAGCCAGCAGAAGGCAAGGTTTCCAAGATGCTGGCGGTTTACTTTGGAAGCAAATTTCTGCTGGCTGGAGAGAGAGAGAAAAACACATATCTATGTATTTATATGCTCCATATCTATATATTCCTCTAGACTGCCTGATGAGAAGGAGCAAAGAGGAGGTCCTGCTACCTTCAGTCAACAGAGGCCCTTGAACCATTTAGACCAGGCTTGGCAGAGGGTCAGTGCTCACTGGATGTTAGCTACTATCACATAGGGTGCTTAGCAAGGTGGTTGGCACATGATACATTCTCAAAAAATTAAGGAATGGTGGTTTTTTCACGGTTGTTAAAGAAATGGAAATAATGATTTGTTTCACCTGGAGTCATGTTCCAGTTGCCCAGACAAGTCACATGGACAAATGGTTAAGCCTTGGCACCATCAAAAAGACTTTATAATCCCTCAAACAGTAGAGTGTTTGAGGGATTATACTCATACCCACACAACTGGATCAGCATTTATCTAGTACCCAGTGAGCCTCAGTCCCAGGCACGTCTACTACAGATGTGAGATTAAAAAGCCAATGCTGGCCGGGCGTGGTGGCTCACACCTTAATCCCAGCACTTTGGGAGGCCGGGGTGGGCAGATCATTTGAGGTCAGGAGTTTGAGATCAGCCTGGCCAAGACGGTGAAACCCCGTCTCTACTGAAAGTATGAAAATTAGCTGGGTGTGATAGAATGTGCCTGTAATCCCATCTACTTGGGAGGCTGAGGCAGAAGAATCACTTGAACCCCAGAGACGGAGGTTGCAGTGAGCCAAGACTGCACCACTGCACTTCAGCCTGGGTGACTCAGTCTTAAAAAAAAGAAAGACAAAGCCAATGCCGTTGTGTTTAGAGTCTAGGAGAAAAGCCATGATGGTATTTCCCTACAGGGGCCACAGCAAGTGGGGTGTGTGCTGGAGGGATTGAGACAGAGGCTCACCCCAAGTGCCCTAGGAGCTCCCAGGAGGGACGTGACCACACAGAAGTTCCAGAAAGATTTCATACGAAGCTAATTTTGCACTGGGTCGGGGAATAAGAAAGATTTCTACAGTTGGTGATGGGCCATGATATCCCATCTGGCTTGAATGGGCTTAAATGCTGACGTCATTTGGTGGAGGGGGTGGTAATGGGCAAGGCTAAGATCAGATACAAGCACACTGAGCAGGTATATTCACAGAAAAATTGAGCAGGCACATAGAGAGTAACAGAGCACAGAGATATCTGCAGTGAATGAGAATGAGAAGTAAAGAGTGGGTGACAGCAGGTGGTAGGCAGCCTCTCAGATGTCTCTAATGATCCCCACCTCCTGGTCCTCATGTACTTGTGTAATCTCCTGCCCTGGAGTGTGGGCTGGACCTAGTGACCAGCTTCTAATGAGCAGAGTATGGCAAAAGCAATGGGATATCACTTTCAAGATTAGGCTAACAAAAGGCTGTGACTTCCAACTTGTTCCCTCTCTTAGAGCTCTGTCTTGGGGGAAGCAAGTTACCAGGTTGTGAGTAGCCTCATGGAGAAACCAATGGCAAGAAGTTAATGTCTCTGGCCAACAGCCAGTGAGGACTTGAATCCCTCCTACCAACAGCCTCATGAGTGAGCTTGGAAGTGGATCTTCTTAGGTCTGCCAGTAGCCACACAAAAGAGCTTGG